TTCCAAGAAATTTATCTTGATTGACTTAAGTCAAGTGTAGACAATAGGGACCGAAACAGGTTTTTAAATTGTCATCCTCAAGCTTTCCTTCAAAGAACACTTTTGCTTTAATTCATAGAAGGTATACGTGCATCCTGTGATCCATAGTTAAAGAATCCAACCACAATGCAGCGTGCGCTCGTGTTATTCTATGTGTCAAGCATACAATAGATTATAGATTGATAGTACCTGTGAGGTACTTAGTTAAATGTATTTCTGTCCAAACTGAAAGGACGGAAGACGATTTGCGCTCACTTTGAGAAATCCTACAAATCCGCCATTTTCGTGTCCACCTAAAATGGCGCTTCGGTTCGCAAGGTACGGCGATTGGTTGTGATTCTTAAGGCCCTGGACTACTGCAATATTTCAAATGAATACATTTTTGTATTAAACATTGTTTTGATCACTCATTGTAGTTGCGCCATGGATTCAACGCTRAAGTACCTCAGGTCACCCACTAAAAATGTGCAGAGGTTTAGTRTCCAGGGTTTTCATTTTCTCGGTAAACACCGCCATGTCTATTTTCACTGTCACGTGATTGCCTGTAACGGAAATGACGCCAAAAGTGTGTGCTCACGTGGTTGTGACAAGAAAAAGATCGGCAAGCGCAATGCGGAAGTCACTGATGCAGCAGTTATGCTTTCCCGAGGACCACTCGCTACCAGAGACACTGACAAGATAGCAGAGGTGCTTGGTCACAAGATTCATCCCCAGTCACAAGGTAACAGGCTATATGACATGTCATTTACATTGTATATTATTCCATACACCTATTTCAATGAAGGTTGCATGTCGGACGACGAATGGCGATTGTTGATTGGATATTTCACGACAGGACTGCACGACCCAGTGCATTTTGTTTGTCATCAATTTCTTACTTCACAGCTTTGAAACTTGCTTTACGCAAGCTTCTCAGGTTTTTCGGGACATTTAGAAGGCCGTGATACATAATCAACATATAATGACGTGCAGTCATTTATTTTCAGATAATTCAGTGATCGTGGAACTTCCCTGAGCAAAGACCATCTAGACGTACTCAAGATGCCTTGTAAGGAAAATAGGGTTAAAAAATAGTAGATTAACTGTCATATACAGTAAATTGCATTTAATATAAGGGATGCACGATGGTCTGTTGCTAGGACT